CACAGCAGAGAGGCAGGCTCCCTCTGTTGCTTCTCTAGGCACCGAGCAGGGAGGATATACTGTGTGTTTGAACAAAAATGTACAGCAAACAAGCCAGCAAGAGGCAGAAAACCCTGCTTTCAGGACATACCACAACAACTAGGGCAACAGACGCTGACCGTAGGTTCAACATTGACTATTCCATCAGCTTGGTGTGTCAGGGCCTTTACAATAAAAATGCCAGCTTTATTTGTGTCGTTATTGTGCCTAACTTTTGTGGAACATAACATGATGTACTGAATTAATCTGCACACGTTGTGGTTCAACATGAGACCAAATTTTTCCATGGATGTCAATTTTTATGCCGTTACAGAGTCAAAATGTGGTCTGCAACAGACTAGGTAAGGCTTTTTTTCAGCTGAGTTGAAAGTGAAATGCCTTCCACTTGATGCTTTTGCTACATGATTTTCTTGATTACTTGCAGCCCCTACTGAGCAGTTAAGAGGAGTGAGGATACAGCAGTCAATGACAGTATAAAGCGATCAACGAAACAGGTTTCTCAGCAATTGTGAATCACTGCAACCACAAGAGGTCCTGGGGCGTACAGTCATAAATGTGCATACAAAATATTAGGCTGATTGGTTCAGTAGTGTGCAAGGTTAGTGATGGACAGTCGGAAACAAACACATGATCCCCCAACGCATTCTCACTCTGACCTCGTCACATATGGATGTTGGTCATGAACTTTCCACTTGACGATTCGATGTGCAAGGTACCCTGGTTACGTTGGCTGTTGATGTTGTACACCATGTCAACTTCAGCCTGTAACATGCATTTTCTGTCTTCAAAATACACATTTTCACAGGAAATGTATACATTGCATACAGTCTCTTTCATAATAAATGCACTACGTTGATACAACACCGCAAAGTGACACACATTTTTGTCATTCAACAACAATCACTGTTATGTTTATCCAACACATGCACGTGGTTGGGTTTTGGAAAATAGAACAGAATTTGGCTTTACATTCTAACTGGAAGCGAAACTGGTCTCCCGGGTGAAAGTCGGTGGTTGTTGGACCCGTACTCTGACATTTCACCCCCAGGGCCGTCGCAACCAGACAGGCAAACTAGGCAATTGCCTAGGGCCCCGAGCTGAAAGGGGGCCCCCAGAGACGGCTGACATTGGTCCATATCAATGACAATATGATGGAACCCTAGACACTGCAACAACAACAACACGTTGGAATCCCCCCCCACTGGGGCCCTCTATTAACTGCTGCTTGCGAGTGGCTAGAGGGGGCCTCCCAGAGACTGCTGACATTTGGTCCGTAATCAACGACACAACTTGACACTGCAACGACGACACGTTGGGAGACCTCCCTAATGGGGCCCCCTACTAGCTGATTTGCTGCTGCTGCTGCCGGTGCCGGGCAAAATGAAGCGAACATATTCTTCAGGGCACGCAAAAAGAAAAAAAAAAGCAAGAGGAGGATGAAAAAAAAACGAGACAGAACAGAACAGATCAGGATAATAAATTAACAGTAATTCATATGACACAATGAGACAGAAAGAGAGACAGAGAGAGATGCAGGACATACGGTAATGACAGTAGCTTACAACAACATTAATGAAAGTAATAATATTATAATTATAATTCTGGCTATTGTGGTACAATATGTTGAAAGTATATATTAATATCTGATAGTGTACATATGTGACAATAATCATATGTGTATCATAACAGTAGAAGTGTGATTAGAGGGGCCTCCAAGGTGCCTCTTGCCTGGGGCCCCCAGAGTGTCTTGAAACAGCCCTGTTCACCCCCTTAACTTTAGTTGTCATCCCACCATCTTTCCTCCTGACACCACCAACAACGACCGGCCACGTACATGCCAATGTGAAAGGACAGCTGCTTTCGTCGATGTCTGATGACTGAAGTCACTGCCCAAGTACTGGTTTTCAACAACTTCGGATTGAGACCAGGATGGATCCCCTCCAGGCTTATGCCTGGTGAAGGTAATAAAATGATTTTGATGATCTGGCTGAACTGTTGGTTTGTTTTTAACCCATCCTATGGTCTGATTGCAAAAGTACGTTTCTCCATTGGGATAGTTTTTAGTGAGGCTGCAGCACCCTGTGATCTTGGCAATTATCACAATCGACAGAACTGGACTTAGCAACGAAAATGGATTCCAAAATTTAATAAATCATTGTTGTCCTTAAAACCCTTGAAATGGCAGATCAGAAAACATTCATATGAATAGTTTGTGGTCATAAAGGGGGTTAAGCTGTGTGCTCCTGGGTTGTTTCTGTGTGATGTTCATTCTCACATGTTCTTTTTATGGACATTCTGGCTCAAATACTATCATAAAGAATCAGAATCGTAAGTCTCTTTTTACAAGCTTTCCACTGCTCATCATGACACCTTTGCTGGGGAAATAAATAAATGACTGAATAAAATGAAATTTTAAAAAGCCAAATCAGTGTGATAATGTTAAGCAGGAGAGCATTTTGACAACTTTTCCCCACACATGCTTTGAAAAATGACACGTCGACACGACAACCAACTGTTTGACACTCCTTTGTCATGCCAATTGAACATGAATATGTGCCGCACAGGAACACCAAATTCCCCCATGTAAGGCAATTATTACAAAGACATGTCTTTTGCTCCAGAGGTACATCATTGACATACTGAAGCTTCATTTAACAACTTCTCACCGATGAGGGATTATCATTGTTGCCCACAGCTACAAAAAAAAAAAGAAGAAAGAAATCCTCCTATACACAGTGTACAAAGAGACACTTAATCACAGGGACTAGATCAGTGGAAAATGGAGTGACTCTGTGTGGTGCCAGCAGAGCCAGCACCAGGGAACGGGATAAAGGATGATGTATTCCGCTTAGAGCCTGTCGGCAACTGATCCTTCTGAGAGGAAGCACAGATGCAATCATGTGCTTGCTTATTTTCAGATAAAGTCACAGTAATAGGGTACACATGCAGTCAAATACAAAATGACACATGCTACAAATCAAGTTGCCTGTCCAGTGAGCCAAACTACAACTCACCTCGGGATTACAGGCTTAAGGGATCAAAGGTCATTAGTGTGTACATGCAAGATAGCCTCTATATGTGTATGTCTATGTGGGTACATACATCCTCAGACCTAACAATGCCTCTGTATCTATGGATTCTTTGAGCGCCACAATGGTTTGTCTCCTCTGCTTTCAGCAGATGCATCATGTAGTTGTTATTGTTTCTCAGATCCATTCCTCCCATGGCCAGTGATGCTAGACGAGAGCCATCAGCCCATCACATCTATTATTCAAAAAACCATGTGTTAGCAGCTGTTTCCAGGCTCATTAGACAGAGATCATACAAAGACTGAGGATACAATTTTAGTTGTGATCTGGCTTGCAGTGAGCCAGTATGGATGCCACAGAGCTCTTCAACACCGCCATATAACACAGACTGAGAGGGAAGGATGTAAACAGATGTAGTCGTTTGCAGAGACACGGTCTTGTTTTGTCACATGCCAGGATAATCTTCGGGCGCGCACTGTTTCTCCAAATCGGAGTTGGACTGTTGGTAAAATTTCTTTGTTGTGTTTTCAGCAGAGACACATTTTAATTTGGAGACATCTAATGAATGATCAGTGTGAAGCATTTGGAAATTGCAAATTTGATTTGTTAAAATTCAGTCTGGAGGGTAGCAGACATAATGCCTCTTGTCGCCATTTACAAAACACGGAGATAGGATTATGTAAAAGAATCTTTTTGTTGGATTCTTTTGTCATGTTATAAACAAACCAAGGCATATACACACACACGCACACATGCAGGATGCTTAAGAAGATATCCAGAATATATTAATGCCATCATGCAGTACATGTTTTGAGGATTTAGTTTGCTTAGCTGCCATTTCGAACCAGCCTTTAAATACTGACGCTTGGTCGGTGGCCCTTGGCATCAGATACCAACACACCAAGGCATCCTTTCGCTGCAGTATGTGACACACCAGGCAGCTGCATTATTTAAATCTCGAAGCAGCTGCTGTAATATAAAAAGCAAGAAAGTGAATCGGTCAAACAAACTCAGAACTTTCACCCTAGAGACTGCTGTTTATGTCCTGTGTAAAACCAAAAGTGCGTTTGAGTCCTTTGTTTGTTGGCTCCAGTCTGATAGAGTCAATCAAGTTTTTAACAAAATAGTGTGCTGGTAGTGTAGCATAGTATGGTTGTGATATATGACATGTAATGTATGTGATGTTTGTCATGTGATGTTGCATTGTGTTAGTAGCAAATGTCCTTTTTTAAGCCAAACCGTAATATTTTTCTAGTTTTTTTTTTTTTCTAGGAAGTTGTTACCCACCTTCTAATTTTCTTTTAAAAATACACTGCATGCATTTAACAAGCAGAATCTGTACTTTTTCTGTGAAAACAGAATTTAGTTTAAAAAAGACACAGTGCATGTAACAAGCTATCCCTGAGGTGTCCAAAACTGACGATGGAAGGGTACCTAGTGTGTCATAGTTTGACATGTATGGACACTGAGCAAGCATTTGTATTTGAAGAGTTGGGAGAGAGAATGCGTTGGCCATTTTACTACTGCTAATCTAATCTTAACCAAAGTACTCTCGTACAACCATTTGTATGATATCCTACAAATTAGCACCCTACAAATAACATTACATCCTTAATGTAAAGTTACATAATTAATGTAAAGTTACGGAGGTTAGCTTTAGGGAAGTAAAGTTACTGTCGTAAGGTTTAGGAAAAGACATGGCGAGGAAATACCTTTAAATACATCAAAGTTCACTCAAAGTTCACATGGTTCCGAAAACGCGACCCTGGGGGAAAGTCCATTTTGTTGTGACCCATCCACCAACCCAACCTGCCTTTGAACCAGCTGCTCAGGACTTCTTCCTCGTTTCTTCCTTCCTTGTTTTTTTCTATTTAAGTTGCAGTGTGTATGATTTGTGTACATTTCTACAAAATTCATTGTCTGTTTTCCTTCTGCTGTGTGATGTTATATTTTGTTGAGACCAACAAAATTATATTGCATAATCAATCTGTAAAATTTACATTCAGCAAGAAGTGAATGCTGCTACACTCTGAATACTCATTTATTTAAAAAATACATGCTTTTGAACAAATGACTGATGTAATGCTTCCCCACTCATCTCAAGCTGGATCCATCACACAAAGTTACAAAGAAACAACCCCGAGATCATAACCGGGACCAAATGTTTCCAGATCTCTGCTCATGATGACAATTGGAGGTCCAGATGGCAATTCTGCACTGCTGGTTGTTACCGAGTCAGCATCCCCACGCGGTGTTTCCAGAACCTTGTTGAATCTACGCCTCGCAGAATTCTGTTGTGAAGGGAAAAGAGTTCAGACAGCAATTTCTCAGACTAGTCTGCTAGTCTGCTCATTATGGATATCGCTGACTACTTTTCATTTTTCAGTTGAATAACAGAAGAAAGCCTCATTACCTATTAGATGTTCATTTCAACTGCATGATGTATTAAGTGCCACAAAGTAATTAAATTATGACAAAATAATAGTAAATAAAATTACATGCTATTAAAAGGTTTAAAAATGAGTGTGACTACTGACATAAATCTTCATCATATGAAAAGTTAAAGCAGCTGCTTGTGAGTAAGGCCTTGATCACAGTCTGCTCACCCTATTTCTGTCTTACCAAACACTGTTTTTTTTAGAACTGGGAATATGTAATATAATCTGTTGAGGTCTTAGGTGAGAGCATGGGTATGCAGTGAAAAAATACAGGTGGTCTTGGACCTATCAATGCCTAGGCCCCCTTGGAAGCCTTAAAATCTATTTTTTTTAAAATGAGAAGTGGAATTTATACTTGTGCTTCAGCTCTACGCAGGGCTTACACTGTAGCCTACACACATGGTCTACGCCATTGTGAGCATTTATACTTGTGCGGTGGTGTGTCTGTGTCGCTCTCCAAAACACTTGTCAGCAGTAGGGTTTCTGTGAAGTGCTACAAAGTTTAGTTGATTCAAAACACACATTAAACACACATGAAACATGGCTAAATAGAGACTATTTCAAACACAAGTACACAAATCAGCTTCACTATAACTCGCAGCATCCACAGACAAAGCACTTGTCTTTATCTGGACACATTTTCCCCACAAATACAACATGCTAATGTTTTTAGCACAAGTCCATGGCATTTTGCATAGTATAAATTAGCCTAGCAGCTAGCGGACTTTTCTTCTTCTCATATGAAGCCAGGAACAACAACAGCATGTAACAAAGGTAATGTCCATTACAGCTCACAAGCAGCGGCGGACTTACCATTAGGCAAAACTAGGCGGTTCCCTGGGGCCCCAAGTTTCTGAGGGCCCCATAAAACTCCTCATACATTTATGGTTAATAGAGTTTTTTCTTATTTGCACACATTATTTATGTTTTTGATTACAAGCCTTTCACTAAAAATGCCAGCAGAATGCTGATTGTATTATGTGTGCCTCGGGGCCCCCCCTTCAGTCCCCACTACATTGGAATAGTCCATCTTACTGCGCATGTGCCGAAAGGATTCAGAAAGACAGCAGCAAAACAAACAGCTTGACGTAGAGAAGAGGAGAAAAGAAGAAGACAACGACAACGATGAAGTTGAGAGAAATGAAAAGAAGTTACCCCAGCAGAGCTGAGAAAAGGAGAAAGAAGGAGGAGAGTAGAAAATTTGTTAAAAAATTGACAAAAGTTACTAGTCACTAGTTTTTCACTGTCACCACCAGCAACAGTCAACCGGCAGCAACGACGTCGACATCCGTTCCGGAGGGTCCGTCGTGTGGAGGTCAAGATGAACAACCAGTGAGTAACGTTATCAAAACTGTCCAAGGGGTACATTTAAAAAAAAAAAGTATTCCTTTACATTATGCATTCAAAACATTACAAAGTATTTAAGTAAATTATTAACAACTACTCACTCTGCATTAAAATGATCCCTGTCAGTGTTTTAGCTTTGTATTAATATTGCTTTAATGTGTGTTATAATTTACTGCTGTAGATGTTTAAGGTTGAGGAAAAAGGAAAAAAACGAGAGAAAAGGAGAGGATGACAACGAGAAAAAGGGACAGAAGAAGAAAAAAGGGAGAGGGAGACAATGAGTAAATGGGACAGAAGAAGAAAAAAGAGAGAGGGAGATAATGAGTTAAAGGACAGAAGTATGAAAAAAGTGAGAAAGACAATGACAAAAAGGGGAAGAGAAAAAGAAAAAAGGGAGAGAAGTAAAAAGGGAGAGAAAGACAACTAGAAAAAGGGACAGGAAGAGAGAGGGACAAAAGGTAAAAAATAATACATGTGTATTCTGTTAAAATGTATGTATCTGTATAATTGACCTGTTGTTGTTTTGTATATTATCTTCTCATTTCAGCGCCACAACAAGAAAAGGATCAATAAAAGGATGTGGAGGGCCCCAAGCCTGTCTTCGCCTTGGGCCCCAAAATGACTAAATCCGCCCTTGCTCACAAGGTTCACCGACAAAACAACTTTCTTATACTAAACACGTTTTCCAAACAAAGATAACATGCTAATGTTATTAGCACAAGCCTGTGGCATTTTACATTGTATAATTTAGCCTAGCGAGAACTGGAGATTTCCTTTACTCATATGTCAGGATAAATACCAAAGTACAAATCCTCAAAGAATAAATTACACACACGACATAAAATGCTATTTTGTGGAGGTTTTATCATCTTGACAATTTATTTTTCCTTATCTGTAAATTAAAGTAAATGACGTGTAGTTACATTTCTGAGGAGGGGGAAATCAGGCTAGGCCTGGGATATGACATAGACTCTACGTGGACACAGAGCCTATGTCTTAAGCACGGCGTTGATTTGATGCAGAAGTATAAATCCCGCATTAGAGAGCACATGCATTACGGAATTGGAGCACAGCTATGGGCTCTGCATCAGTGACACCATAATGAATTATAATGCACAGGTGGAAGCTCACACATTAACTCTAATATTTGTGGATATCAACTCCAGTATCTGCTTTGCTCCCTAAAGAGACCTCTAAAGCTCGAGATGGACTCTGTCAAAACCAGCGGTCAAATCATCAGCTTTGACTGACAGCATCGAGTGGTGCAATTTTTTTTAGATGTTTGTTTTATTCTCCGTGACTGTGAACAGTTTTCCTGAGGGCTTTCCTGTCCATCCCAGTAAGGCTGGGGCAATATATTTGTAGAGTTGAAGGTAAAACAACACATAGATGTCGAGGTTGAAGCCTCTGGCTGTTTGGCTGAAAAAGGTCAAGCTTTTCAGGAGTCTTGTTTAATGATGTTTCAAGAGCATTACACTGAAATGATAACTTTCCACTGTATGAAAGCTAGACCAATGAGCATGGGTGATTTGTGGTCTAGACGTTGAAGTTACAATATTGTAATGTAGAAATAAAAAGATAAAAGGTCAGGTCAGATCTTGTGTAAAAACGAGCCGGATTGGGTCCTGAATTGGTTTATTGTGATAACAAACCGATTCATGTTTGGTGGGGTCTATTGAGGTTTGTGTGATGGGTAGAGGCTTTAAACTATTTCTATTAACATGTTTCTTTCATAACTACACACAGGATGGATGAATGTGTGGTGTCAGCTATGTGGACTGCATTAGTTATAAGTTTAACTTATCATTTTGTAGAGGGGGGAGTCTTTCTGGTTCAAGGGAGCGTCACCTTGGGGAAGGAACTGGAGCTTCAGGTATCAAATAAATATAGATGGGCTCACCTCTAAGCACAGCATTAGGTCTGGTACCAAACCTCTGGAGAGGGGCTGGACTTTCTCCGTTTCCGGAGTTGCTTAAAGTGAGCAGGGCCAGCTGGGTGTGAGAATACTGTTAGAGTTCTTCCCACTGAATGAGAGGTTTGCCTCTATGCAGCTAGGTGTTGCTGAGAGGAAGGCTCTGACAGCATAACCACCACTGTACTGAAAGACTTCAGTGCTAGTGGCATGCCTGATCTGACCCTGCGTGGTGCTTAGTTATTGGACTCCTGTACTTGTCATGGATAACATCCTTTTGTTACTTGGTACCACAACACTTTAGATGTGTCTCCATTTCTCTCTGCCAAGTTCCTCCTCCTTGTCTTTTCACTCAGGCTTCTCTGTGCTGAGACACTGCCTGTCCTGGGACCTTTCTGTCTCCCTCCCCTGGCTGCTGGTGCCTCATTCCAGATGTTTTGGATGTCGATATTTTTCCTCCAGGAGATTTCAGCATCTTCTCTTGTCTCTCTGTGTCTCCCTTGTGTGCATGTTGTCCTTGACTCTCTCTCCCTCTGTGTGTTTGTGTTTTTTCTCCTATTTAATGGTGCGTTTAAGTTTTGCTTTCTGTCCTCTTTTCAGGTTCCATGGTGGACTGGAGGTCATGTGGCCCAGGTCCTGTCTCTTTGGCGAAACTTTGGGTTGCTTTAAGTCCTCCTGGATCCATGTTCTTCAGACACATTTATTATCTTTCTATAACTCTGTCATCCTGTTGGTTGTTCTATACACACGACATCTATCGTATGCCTGTCGGTCCGGAAAGAGGGATCTATCCTCTGTTGCAATCCCTGAGGTTTCCTCTATTTGAAAGGGTTTAATAATCCCTATCTGAAGGAGGTCAAAGGACAGAGGGTGTTGTATGCTATAGTATGCAAAGCTCCCCTGAGGCAAATTTGAGATTTGTAATATTTGGCTGTATATATAAAACTGACTTGACTTAGGTCAAAGGATGATACAGGATGCCAAAGTTTATACGGAATCATTAAAAAAAACTGATTTGTGCTAACCTCAATTAAGATTTAAAAAAATGTTGTTTGATGCTTTAGGGGTTGTTTTGTGTTCTGTTTTGCTAATGGTGCTCTGTTGTGTGCTGGTGTTATGTGCAATACATGAATGGCTGATGTGCAATACTGTTATGTGTAGTAGGTGTTTTTATGTTTTATGTTCTATTATTGTAAGGCAGCAATACTTGTGCAACTCCTGAGTCCAAGATGAATTTCCCTATGGGGACAATAAAGTATATTGTATCGTATCAAAGGCTGATAATTGACTTTGTGGGTTAGGGGTTCATCTGATCTACAGCTAAAGGTCTTTGACACTCATGTGAAGCAGGTGAAGAGAGGAGGGAGCTGTCAACTGATAACCACATAGTGGCTCGATCAGGTCATGCCCTGTCCACGAGGTCTTTAACTCCCACCTTCAGAGGAGTTTGTCATGCATGCCAGGAGAGATTGGGGACGTGGAATCCAAGTGGGCTGTGCTCAAAACTTCCATCATGGAAGTTAGAGTTGTGGTTAGAGGGTCATCGGTGCCAGTCATGGTGGCAACCTTAGAACCCATCAGTGACGAGGAAAGA